CTAGCTAAGGGTTCATCAATCTTGTTTATCTTTTTGAAAAACCAGCTCTTTGTTTTATTGATCCTTTGAATTGTTTTTTTTGTCTCTATGTCATTTATTTCTGCTCTGATCCTTACTATTTCCTTCCTTCTACTTGCTCTGGGGTTTTCTTTTTGTTTGCTCTCTAGTTCTTTAAGTTGTGAGGTTAGATAGTCTATTAGAGACTTTTCTTCCTTTTTGAGGTAGGCCTGTAGTGCTATGAACTTCCCTCTCAGAACTGCTTTCACTGCATCCCATAGATTTTGTGTTGTTGTGTCTTAATTTTCATTGGTTTCCAGGAAGTTTCTGATTTCTTCCTTGATCTCCTCGGTGACCCATTCATTGTTTAATAACATGCTATATTTAGCTTCCATGTGTTCAAATGTCTTTGTATGTTCTTCTTGCAATTGATTTCTAGTTTCATGCCATTGTGGTCTGAGAAGATGCTTGATATGATTTCAATCTTCTTGAACTTGTAGAGACTTAGTTTGTGCCCTAACATGTGGTCTATCTGAGAATGTTCCATATGTACTTGCTAAGAATGTGTATTCTGTAGTTTTGGGGTGTAGTTCTCTGTAGATATCTATTAAATCCATTCGGTCTAGTGCTTTATTTAGAGTCTCTGTTTCCTTGCTAATTTTTTGTCTAGAGGATCTATCCAGCGATGTCAGCGGGGTGTTGAAGTCCCCTGCTATGATTGTATTGCTATCGATTTCTCCTTTGAAGTCCTCCAGAAGTTTTTTAATATATTTTGGTGCTCCTATATTGGATGCATATATGTTTATCAAGGTTATATCTTCCTGTTGAATAGATCCTTTTACTATTACGTTGTGGCCTTCTTTGTCTCTAATTATGGCCTTCATTCTGAAATCTATTTTATCAGATATAAGTATTGCTACCCCAGCTTTTTTTCTTTTCCGTTTGCTTGAAAGATTGTTTTCCATCCCTTCACTTTCAATTTATGTCACTCTTTTGTTGTGAGGTGGGTCTCTTGTAAACAACATATAGATGAGTCATACTTTCTTATCCAATCAGCTACTCTGTGTCTTTTTATGGGAGCATTCAATCCATTTACATTCAAGGTGATTATTGATATGTACTTATTTATTGCCATTTTTGTTTAGTGTGGTTCTATTTTCCTTCCCATTTCTCCTGGTAATTACAGCAGTCCTTTTAACATTTCTTGCAGTGCTGGTTTGGCGCTAGTGTATTCCCTTAGCCTTTTTTTTGTCTGTAAAGCTCTTTATTTGACCTTCTATTTTGAATGATAGCCTTGCTGGGTGGAGTAGTCTTGGATTCAGATCCTTGCTTTTCATGATCTTGATTACTTCATGCCATTCCCTTCTAGCCTGTAGTGTTTCTTGTGAAAAGTCGGCTGAGAGTCTTATGGGGTTTCCTTTGTAGGTAACCTGTTGCTTTTTTCTTGCTGCTTTTAGGATTCTCTCCTTGTCTTTAATTGTTGGCATTTTGATTACTATGTGTCTTGGTGTGGGCCTGTTTGGGTTCTTCTTACTTCGGGCTCTCTGTGCTTAACTTGAATGCCTTCTTCCTTCTCCAAATTAGGGAAGTTTTCTGTCACTATTTCTTTGAATATATTCTCTAGCCCTCGCTTATTTTCTTCTTCTTCAGGGACTCCTATGACGCAAATATTATTCCATTTCCAGTTGTCCCACAGTTCTCTTAAGCTGTCTTCCTGTTTTTTAATCGTTTTTTCCTTTTGGTTTTCTGATTGGTTGATTTCTTCTAGCCTGTCTTCTAATTCACTGATCCGGTCCTCAGCTGCCCCTACTCTGCTTTTTAGACCTTCCAATGTGTTTTTCATTTCTGATATGTCATTCTTCATTTCTTCCTGTTGGTTTTTAATTTCCAACTGGTTTATTTTCAACATTTCTATGTCTTTACTCATGGTGCTCATGTCCTTACACATGCTATTGAGCTTCCGCAACATCATGGCTCTAAATTCTAGTTCTATTAACTTGCTTAACTGCACCTCATTTATTTCATCTTCCGTAGAGGTTTCTTGTTCTTTCATTTCGCTTTTGTTTCTGTTTTTCACCATTTTGGCTATCACAGTGGGCTTTGGAGTCTGCCAAATTTTCCATGTGGGTGTTGGTGTTCTGCTCTTTGTGGCTCCCTCTCCTGGGTTTGGATGCGCCAGGGAGGACCCACTTTAAACACCACCGTCAAGTCTTAGCTTTTCTGGTTAGTGTTGCTCGTCCAGGGAATGGTAGTTATCCTCCAGCTTTTTTTGCCTGGAGGCTATTAGTAGAGGTCACCTGCAGACCCTTGGTTTCTGAGTTTCCTGAAAAACTCCCTCAGGTGCTCAGTGTAAGAGGATTTCATGAGAGTGAGGCAGGTGTTCGTTGTTAATGGGCCTCAATTAGTATTTCAATGGCCACCAGGTGGGGTTGAATCTCTGCGGGAGGAGCCGCCGCCTCTCCCCAGGGCCCTGGGAAAGAGTAAAATGACCACAGTGCTGCGTGGCTGCACTCAGCGAAAACTCTTAGCACCCTCCAAATCCCGAGTGTCCCCAGACAGTTCTAGTCCAGTCTGCCTTCCCTCTGCCGGAGCCCAAGGTGAGTGGCTGCTGCCAATTTAGCTTCTGTCCAGACTCTGCGTCGTGGAGCCGCCTGTGACTTTTAACCCGAGGGTGCTGCTTCCAGCCAAGGGTGGCCGCGGCTGTGGCACCAGTTGAGGGGGTTGCACTCAGCAGAAGCCCCAGGACTGAGCCGCAGTAGCGGGACACTTCAGAGGTGGCAGTAGCATCCAGCACAGTCCCCTGGTCCCAGGGCCCATGCAGGGTCACAAGGGAGGCGGTAGCAGTAACTTCCCGCCGAGTTCCCTGGTCCCTGCCCAGGCCGTTAGGGACCGTGGGCTCTTGGCCCCCTCTCGCATCCTCGCAAGCCTACCAGGATTGAGTGGGTGTTTCTGGTTATGTGTTCCTCCATGGTGTCTTTCGGTTGCCCTTTCCTGACGATTTGCCTTTATTTTCGTTGTAAATCCAGTTTGGTCCTGGGAGATGGTCTGTGTCACTCCATTCACTTGGTCGCCATTTCTTCCTCCCCTAGTTTTTGTTTTTCTTAAGGTAGTCTCTCCCATCAAAGATTCTAAAAACACTATCCCACTTTATTGTTCTTCACTTTTTCACATTTAGAACTTTGAAGTAGAGATCCAACTTTATTTTCTTCTACTTGAAAGTATATTGTACCAATACCCTTTAGTAAATAAAACTTGGCCCTATGAACTGAATTATCATTTTGATAATATCTGAAAGTTCCATAATTACTTGTAACAGCTATACTTCCTTCTTCTCTATTGTCTATTCTTGAGCTAGCACCATGCTGTTTCAATTAGGAAAGGTTTGTCGTAATTTTCAATATCTTCACTTCCTCACTCTTACTCTTTTCTCAGTTTACTAGAATGTGTCCACTTAAGGGCACATTCTCTAGGCACAGATAGTAAGATGAAACTGCGCACAAACTGTAAGATGTATGTGTTACCTTTTAAATAAAATACGTAATTAATAAAAAGAGATTCAATTCCATACAATGTATAAAAATAAAAGGGTAGGAAATAATCACATGGACAAATGTAACTTACATGTATGGCAGACACTATGCCTCTCATTTGAGGCCGATTAACAAGTATTTTACACTGAAGTAAACAGAGGCACGGATAGGATCATGGAAGAGAGTATTAGGCCAATAATCTGATTATTGGAAAAAGCAAAAAGAGAAAACATCCACTAATGGAGGTACAGAGATCAAACAAGATAGAGTTCACTAATATTTTACCTGTCCAATCCCATCCACACAGAGGAAAGGAAATAAACTAACTGGTCATTTTACAGTTGGTCATAGCCAATCTTCCATCTAGCCAAGAAAAATGGTTGAGCTCACCGAGGTAATAGGTATGTGAGCACCTGCTCTTTTGATTTTCAGATTATGAATCCACCCACAAATAGTAATAGAAAATATAAACATGCTATTACCTTCCCAAGCACAGAACCCCCAAACAGTATGCTCTCCAATGCCTACCAAAAACACATTTGAGTCCTCTGGTAAATAATGGAGTAGGTATGTGACTATTCTACTTCCCACTCTAAAACCCACAAAATGTAGCAAGGGAAACACTTCCATATAAAATACGAAACAACCCCAAACCACAGACCAGGAAGTAGTCTAATGAATACAATTTGGGACAAGCTGATGATGAATATCATGAGCCAATATATATGTGCCTCTATATATCCAAGCACCATTGAATTTCCCTGAAAGTAATGTATGTAGAAGGTCTTAAAGATTTTTACTTAGAACAAAGATAAATGAGGATGCAGACAAATAATAGGAGAGATTGCCAAGCATTCCTCGGAGGGTACATTTCCACATGGAGGAAGGGTAAGGGAAATGAGATAAAGAAGAGACTATGTGTACATGCCAGGTTCATTTTCCCTGACTTCTAAATCAGAGAATCTATAAAGGGAGATGCCGTGATGCTCAGCTTTGGATGAACAGAAATAATAAATCATCAAACAGATAACCAGGTTACACTGAGAGCCTCTGTCCTAGGTGATCTATTCACATGAAAGGAGAGAATACCAATGCTCAGGAGAGAAGTCTTGGTGAGAAAGCATTATGACACAAGAAAAGTAAACTGAACTATCCAGAACTTCAAGCTCTTACAATACTCGAGTCACTAGTCTGGGAGTTATATAAATACTAACTCTTTTTATCCTCAAAACAACCTCAAGGAGGCAAGTACTCTTGTTATCTCCCTTTTACAGATGAGAAAAATGAGGCTCAGAGAAGGTAAGTGCATTTCCTATAGTTATATAACTAGACAAAATTTGAACCCAAGCAGTCTGGTTTAAAGCTCAGGCTTTTAACTATTATGCTGTACTGCTTCTCCCACATTAATGTTTAAAAATTGGCAAACCCATAAGGTACAAAGAATTTTTATTTATACAGGAAATATTGACATACCTTGTACTGTAAGTTCTGCTTGAGCTTCAACTGTCTCATTTCCATTATCAGCTACACAAAAATAAGTCCCAGCATCATCCTCAGTGACATCACTGATCTCTAGACTACCACCTGCCAGCAATACCAATCTTTCAGAGCTGCATAAAAAGAAGGAATGATACATTTCAGAACAAGGAAAATAATACCTGAGAAATTCTTCACATAAAAGAGAAAACACTTAACCAGGATTATTGGCTTTAAATGGACAGAGATTACATAAAATTATCAGAATTTAATTTAGTCCAATTTGCTTTACTCATATTTTTCATGCATAAATATCACAAATATAAATCAAAATGTTATAATGAATTATCTATGACACTTCTAATTATTCCAAAGGGATACCACTTTTGTGACAGATTCCACTACCCACAGTCCATCCCTGCATCCTTACTCTGACCAGTTTTTGTGTGTGTTTTTTTGTTTGGCAAATTATGTAATTTTGAAGTATGGAATCAATCTGAGGGTCACTCCACCACAATTATACCACACTGAGATGACTAACAGAGAGGGCAAAATGTCAGATCAGAAACAGTAAGTCAGGAGGTCACAGTACTTACTAAAAGTTTCCTATGGTGGCTTGGCTAGGAAAGGTAGGAAAGAGGAAGGGAAGGGAGAGAGAAGGGCAGCTAGCAGAGAGCAGCTTCCTAGGTGTGGTGGCTGGGCATGAATCAGTCGCTATTATGCCGTTATCAACAAGAACACAGATCATTACCAACCCAAATCTACCATGTGATTTAAGTCTATTTAAAGAGAATAAAGAGAAAGTAAAACAATTCGGTAACATCAAAGAAGAAATCACAAATCAATATTATGATTAAATTTTTATAAAGTGAACCAGTTTAGTTCATTTGAAGAGTTTGGAGAGTTACAATTTTATTTTTATTTTGAGGTTCTACGTCTAAACTGGTTTTCATAGGCAGATTTTTCTCTCAAATCTTAATACTATTCCATTTTCTGTCTGTATCTATGCTTAACAAGAAATGTTCTGATCATTTGGATTTTCATCTAGAATTCCTAATGGCAAAAAAAGTCAGAGGGAATGACTATTCAGTATGTGCCACATTTATAATTCTCATCCTAAGTAAAGTGTGATTCCGACTTAAATTTGAGCACACTGTGAGTCTGGGTAATTAGTCTTCCTGAATCTGATAAACAAGATTAAGTTTCTGGACAAAAAAAAAGGAAAACCAGAATCAGGTTTGGTAACTTCTCCAAAAAATACCCTGCAAGGTCATTACTAAACCTTATTAAGTGGTCTTCCTATTCAAATTATCTTAATTATGCCCTCAAATCCCAACTTTATGTGATGGAACAGAGAAGCAATACAATTTACAATGGAATAGAGCAAGAATGGAGCAAAACAGATAAGACAAAATAAAAAAAATTACAAACATTAAAATACTATATTTTACTCTTAGACAAAAATCACTACTGAGCTTCAAAAACAGAAAACAATGTTCACAAATGAGAAATCAGCAATGTATACACAAGACTCCCAAGCAAGAGAAACATAATCTGAAACACTAGTTGGTATGGTACTTTCAATATCAAAATACAGTATTGATATCTAAAAACTATACTAAAAATACCCCTAATACTTGCTGTGCCTCACATTTGCCATAACTGGGAGCCAGTGCAGCAGAAGTCAGTCTTTTTATTTTAATCCTCACCCGAGGATATTTTTCTATTTAGCTTCAGAGAGAGTGGGAAGGAGAGAGAGAGAGAAACATCGACGTGAGAGGAACACATCAACTGGCTGCCTCCGCACGACCCCAACCAGGGCCAGGGATGAACTGCAACCAAGATACGTGCCCTTGGCTGGACTCAAAACCTGCGACTCATTGGTCTGCGGGCTGCTGCTCTACCACTGACCCAAACCAGCCAGGGCAGAAGTCAGTCTTTCTTTTTTTTTAAACCTCACCGGAGGACATTTTTCCATTCTTTGTTCAGAGAGAGGGGGAGGGAAAGAAAGGGAGAGGGGGAGAGACAGAGAGAGAGAGAGAGAGAGAGAGAGAGAGAAACATCAACGTGAAAGGGACACATCAAGTGGCTGCCACCCGCACAACCCAACCAGGGCCGGGGACAAACTGCAACCGAGATACGTGCCCTTAGCGGGAACCGAACCCGGGTCTCTCTGGACCGCAGGCCAACGCTCTAACCACTGACCCAAACCGGCCAGGGCAGAAGTCAGTCAGTCTTAATGGAGTTGTTTTACTCCCCTTAAAAGAGGCCTGAGAGGAAGAATATCTTTATCCTGTTCACAAAACTATATGATGGCTAATAGTAAAATGGCAATCAAGCCAATTTTTTAAAATGTAGGCAAAAGAAACAATATTTGAAAAAGTATGCATTGTCAGTGGACCCAAGTAAGTTGGGTATGGCTGAATCTGAGAGAGAGAGAGATAAAATGAATATCCCTGAGTAGCTGGGGTCAGTCTAGGAGAGCTTGGTGTGCTAAGGAAACCTATTTTTTTCGTCAAGGGGAAAAGGTTTTATTTATTTATTATTTTCTTCATTGATTTTAGAGAGAGAGGAAGGGCAAGGGAGAGAGAGAGGGGAACTTCAATGAAAGAGAACATCGACTGGCCACCTCCTGCATGCCCCCCACTTGGGATCAGGCCCACAACCTGGGCGTGTGCCCTGACTGGGAATCAAACTGGCGACCTCTGGGTGCATGGGTCAATGCTCAACCACTGAGCCACACTGGCCAGGGAAGGGGGAAAAGGCTTTTAAACACATGAATAACATGATCAGATTTAGTGAAGAAAAGAAAGGAGTGGGGGAAAAGACTAGAAGCAGGAAGTTTGGTTGTAAAATTATTTTAATGGTCTATAGCAGTAATAACAGGGGTAAACAAAAGGCAAAAAGTATTGACCACTCTTTAAAAAGCTGGATGATGAAGGTAAGGAGAGAGATTTATTCATTCAGTTAACACATTTATTGGTGTGCCTGTCTGTCAGGTAGCAGCTAAGAGTGCAGCAGTGAGCAAACACACAACGGTGTTGTCATACAACTCGGTGGGAAAGACAGACATAAAAGATGATTCTACAAAATGGTGTATCAAAAGAACCTGCCAAGAAATTAGAAGAGAGGTTTTCCTGACCAAAGCAACCCTTGAGCTAAGATCTGAAGAATGCGTAGGAGCTAACATAATGGGTGGGAGAAAAAAATTTCAGAAAGACTAGCCCATGCAAAGGAACTGGGGGAGAAAGGATCACACTGCATTTGGTGATCTGAAAATAACCAGTGTGGCAGGTGTAATACAGAAAAAAAGAAACAGATGAGGATGAAACAGACCACACAAGGCTTTAAAAGCCATTTTAAGAATCTGAGTCCTGAACAGGTTGAAACGTTGCTTCTTACACCAAAAAGGTCGTGGGTTCGATTCCTGGTCAGAGCACATACCTAGGTTGCAGATTCAATCCCCAGTCAGGGCACATAAAAGGGGCAATGATCGATGTTTCTCTCTCACATGGATGTTTCTTTCTCTTTCTCTCTCTCTCTCTCCCCCTCTCTCCCTCCCTCCCTCCCTCCCTCTCAATGTTAAAAATCAAAAACATATACTTGGATGAGGATTAAAAAAATATTTGAGTCCTTAACCTAAAAACAGTGGAAAACCATTAAATATTTTAAAAAGTGTCCAAGAGGTTGCCAGTGATGTGGTGAGGTTTGAACATTGAAAAGACAGTCTGGCAGGAGTGTGAAGATGCATCTGGCATGAGGCCAGAGTACATGTAAAAAGAAAAGTTATGAGGTGACTGCAGTAATTGAGGGGACACTTAAGAGTAACTTCGAAGGCGGTAAAATGACAGATCTTGTAGATAAATGAACTGCATAGACAGAGAAACTGAAGAAGAAACACAAGTCAAGGTTGGGGTACAAGTTAAGAAACACAAGTTAAGGTTGGGGCAGTAAGTGTGAAGGGAAAAGTAAAAGGAAAATTGCTGGTCTAACTTGGGTTTTGTGTGTGTTGTTATTTGAATGAGAGACAGGTATGCCTTTCAGAGGCAAAAGGAAAGGTGTCAATGGAGAAGGAAAATTTTGAAAAAAATGCATAAAAGTGCTGAGGGGCTGGACACTAATAAGATTTAGAGCACAAAAGGAGTTCTTGGACACTCCTAAACAGCACGATTGGAAAAGTATGTAAGTCTTATATACTCTCTGGCACGAAATTTATTCTGTCATTTTTTTCTTTAAACTTTTTATTTTGAAGTAACTATAGATTCACATGTAGTTCTAAGAAATAATACAGAAAGATACCATGTGCCCTTTACCCAGTTTCCCCCAGTGGTAACATCTTATAAATCTATAGTATCGTAGTCAACCAGGATACTGGCATTTCCATACTGCCCTTTCATAGCCTCACTCACTTCTCTTCTACTCCCATCTCCTCATTAACTCCTAGCAATGACTAACCTGTTTTCCATTTCAGTAGAATGTTATATAAAGAAGATCACACAGTATGTACCCTTTGGGAACTGGCTTTTTTAATTCAGCATAATTCTCTGAAGACTCATTCAGGTTGTTGCACAGATCAACAGTTCATTCTGTCTATTGCTTAGCAGTACAGTAATCCCACAGTATGGAGATACCATAGTTTATTTAACCATTCACTCAATGAAGGACATCTGAGTGGTTTCCAGTTTGGAGCTATTATGAATAAAATTACTATAAATATACATGGATGGGTTTCCATGTGAACATAAATTAATTTTTATGGGATAAAAACCCAAGAGTGTAAATGTTAAGTCATATGGCAGTTGCACATATATTAAGTGTTTTAAGACCATTTTTCACAGTGGCTGTACCATTTCACATTCCCATCAGCCATGTCAGAGGGATCCTGCCTTTTCACAGCCTTGATAGCATTTGGTGTTATCACCTTCTAAAAATTTTTTAGCTATTCTGATACATATGTAGTGATATCTCATTGTGGTTTTAATTTGCATTTCCCTAATGGCTAGTAATGTTAAACAATTTTTCTTGTGCTTATTTACCATCTGTATATCTTTTTCGGTGAAACATCTATTCATACCTTTGCCCATGGTCTAACTGGATTACATGCTTTTTTAAATATTGAGTTTTGAGTGATTTT